GAACACATATTTACATTCATCATGGGGCATTTTCTTCCACCCCTCTCACTAGCACAGTCCCATCCAACTCTTTGTTGATTCATAAGCCACTTTTAAAGCTCTAGGGTTCATGGATTCAAAAGCACAGCAAAATAAATTCTTGAACTGAATTCTGAAGAGAATAAAATTAATACGATGATGAGCAAAACAATGAGAAAAACTCAGAAAATCATGAATTGGGCATCGGAAGATCAGAACGTGAGCAGCAAAATGCTACGAATATTTGACCCAAGAGTGGCAGAAATGTTCTGACAGGAATGAGAGGAGATATGAAGCAGCTGGGAGAATCAATACAAATGCTAAGATAAAAATGGGATCCAGGGAGAAAAATTAACCATTAGTCAAAATGCAATAGAAAAGAAAGGGAATTGACTAGCAGACGGACAGCAACCGAACAACAATTCACAGGAAAGCAAAGGGAAATAGCATTAATATTAAATGAAGGCAAGGAATGAGAAGACAAAGAGATGATGAGCAAGGGGAAAGCATAAAGCCAACTTTGCTGCCAAAGTCTTCATGGCCAATTGAATGAGAAAACACGAAGCCACTCAAAAGAAATAACAGCAGGAGTCTTGCAGAGAGAGTGCATACGTGGAAGAACTGAAAGAGAAAAAGCACATGAATAAGAGCAATCTTATTATACATAGAGCTGCATCTCAAGAGACTATACAAAAGGAAATGAGAAAGAGAAGAATGGCAGGGACTGTGGATGCAGTTAGGTCAGGCTAAGCATGGTGCTGGTTTCTGAGAAGTCTACCTAACTAACAGATGGAGATGATTTTTGAGGAGACGGGGAGCTGAAGTTGGGGTGGCAAACCAGTGGTCTTCCAGATATTGTTGGACTACAGCTTGCTTCTTCCCTGACCATGCTGTGGTCAGAGGGAAATGTGTGGTCAGAGGGAAAGAAATTCTGCTCAACAGAATTAGGCTGCATTCACACAACACTTGATTCTATTTTCCTGACATTTTCTCACTTGATAATTTCCATGTTTATTGTCACCTTTCATATGCAAAAACCCCTTCTGGAAATCTAGCTGAATCTTGTGGAGGTTTAGCACTCATTTCTGTGTTAATTGCCTGCAGAAAAATCCATTTGTGACCACGTTAACCCAGAGAATTGTGAGATTAAATTTGGTGTGGTATGCTGGGGTGCAGTTATTTCCCATCAAAGTCATGGGTGACTCATGAAGGAACAGAAGCAGATAAGAACATAAAGGGTGGTACCATAACTAATGATATCTACTCTTGAGTCATGCCATGCCCATTGGCATGAATTAAATTTAGCAGGACATGTTGGTATATCAATCAAAAAGCCACAGTTCCATCTCACAACAGGCGATGTGGTGTAAAAGGACCGTTGAAAACCAAGACAGACATCTTAGCATTATAACCAGGAAAACTAATGCAATATTCCCCATGCCTGAATTCAACCTTAGTATCAAACAATGACCTAGCAAGAGTGACCATTTGGGTTCAGTCCATCACCTCCATCAGCAAGTGTGAATCACCTGACTTCAGTTATATTCCAACACCTAAATTTCAAGTTCTACATTGTTAGAAAAGGGACTCTATGCACTAGTTTAAGTCTTGGCTGACATATCCCTTGAACAGTACATTTGGCTTTCTTGGCCTTCAGCACTCAAACTTGAAGAATTCTAAAGGTACGGAATGTAAGTCATGAGAAGGTAGAGGTGGAATAATCTATCCAGAAAATGACCTTTTAAATGGATCGTAAGGAGTAAAGAACAGAGCAAAACCTGCCAGTAGCAAGGAAAGAGGCAGATTTTGACAATTCTGTAAATAGAAGATTATTTATAAGTACACAGTTGGTGATTAAATGCATGCAAAATATGTTCTGTTATTATAATGGTGTGGTTTTTATTCTTAATCAGCTTCCCTTCCTCCCCCTCTCCTTGCCCTTGTGGTACTGTGCTTTTAATGAATCTAACTGATTCTAGCTGGGGTTATTTGTAGGGTTGCCAGATTTCCAAAGACCAATTCTTGTACACAAGAGGCTATTGGGAGGAAAAATTCCTGGACATCCTGGACACCAACCAACGAGCGTGAGCAGACAGCCAAGGACTGCCCAGAGTCCAGGACCAGACAGTGCATAGACTGTTGCCCTACTGATGAGCATGCTGGCGGTCAGATGTACGAGGAGCGCTCGTCAGGCGCAGGTGCGCTGGGTTGCTGACCTGCTGATTAGTAGACTGGCGGTCAGCAGAGTGGAAGGGGGGCTGGGGAGGGGCTGTCTGCTGAGGGCAAATACCAAAGCGTCAGTATGGAGAAGCGAGTGGGCAGATGGAGTCCTTTCAGAGCTGCCAGTCACAAGGCTCAACTATGAGGACACTGCACAAAGCAGGCAGTTCTTCTGTGTCCAAAGCAATCATGGATATCTGGCAACCCTATTTTGGATCTAGCCTTGGCTTAATATGAGCCAGTGCTTACCAGGGCTCAGCCTGAGAACATTTCATGATGCCAGGCTCAGCTTTGGACACTGACAACTAAAAAGAGCTAGAGTGCATCTCTTATGCATGTGAGGGTTGTCTCTCACTCCACACTGAGTTATCATAGCCAATCTCAACCTGTCTGGGATTAAGGTTGCTTCTTAGTGAATCATTAGAAGTAAATGAATATCTCCACTCAGACAGAAGAACAATTTTCTTAATCTGGGGGAGAAGATGTCACAGAGTCTATTTGGCTTTGTTAGGATTCTAGCTGGTCATCTGAAGTTGCTTGTTTTACACAAGGCTTCAGTTAAGGGCCCCTTGTGGACAAATTAGGTAAAATATAATTTTGTCAAATAAATAAAGCCAACAGGTGCTGCCAACATAGTTTGACATATCCTTATGGAGGATGGATAAGATATTCTCCATTTGGTAATGTTTCTGTGGGTAGCCAAGAAAACTTGGAGGGACAGAAAGTTAGCACTATCCTTAGTGCATAGCCCTCCCCATTTCTCTTTCATGACAACTGGTTCTGCTGGAGGGCTTTGGATATTCCCAGAGATAAGGAGTTTTATGGCAGAAGGTACTGCTTACATGCAGAATGAGAGCCTCTGGTGCTCTTTCTTTAAAAATTAACCACTGGATATGAAAACTGATTCAGTTCACATCTGACAGTCACTGGGTGGGAACACACTCTGCACAAAGACAAATGCACCGGCAGATTGTCAGATCTCTGACACCTTGTATTTTGTTTCAAATGCCATTAAAAGCATTGTGCTGCTTCTCAGAGGAACACAGCTAGTCCCATTCCTCCTCTCCCTCATCTGCCACTCCATAATTTGACATGGTTAAGTCATATTCATTAGTACAGGAACAAGACATTACAGTCTGCCTTCTAAATGACAAGCAGATATTCTGGGTGCATGGTGTGTTAGGAAGAAACAATTAAATCCAAAGACAATTGACATGATATTGAGAGACTTTCTGCTCCTGCTCACTTTGCTAACTCTCCTTTTGTTGTTGTTTTTCTCTGCCGCAGGAAGTATTTCCACAGTTGCTGAGACACAAAGCACAAAAGAAATCCCTACCTGTATAAATGTTTGAAACAAGGACACCGGTCTATCTCTGTCCCCTTCACCCTGATATATATATATATATGTATAAAAAGAAAAAAAGGAAACCAATCACTGCTTTTGGACTTTTTGATTCTTCTGACGACAAAGGGGTTTTTAGCTTTAAGCCTGTGCATGTGGATGTCATTTGGATAACATATTGGGAACTGCAGTGTACAGGTGTTCTATTTTAATGGAGTAAAAGAGGAAGGAAAAAAACACTTCCTCTTAATCCTCTTCTCTCTTCTTTTCTAATCAAGGTTTAATTTGTAAGTGATTCATAATGAATATAGGCCAAGAACGTGCATGGGGTCTTTGTGGGAGGGGGTGGAAGTTCCTGACTTTCGGTATAACTTATGCTTTTAGCACTGCAAGATTGTAGGTGGATTTGCCACTCCAGCCTACATTCCTGCACCTGCAATCCTATACACATGGACTTAGAAGTAAGCCCCACTGAACTCAGTGAGGCTTTCTACTGAGTAGACATGCATAGGAATGCAGTGTCAAATACTCACAAAAAATCTGCACTAGTGTTTGATGGCATCACAATGTTCTTAGGGGGGGTTGTTTATGTTTTTCAGATGTCTCTGTTTGGACTTTTACTTTTTGTCTTGTAATGTTCCTTTGTCTAAAGCTGTTTTTAGCTTGTTCAGATACAGTTCAAGGTCCAGACGCAGCTCAAGTTCCTTTCACTGGCAGAATCAAATTCTTTCCTAAACATATGTTGTCCCTTCATTCATGCCTGTCTAGGGCAGTGTGGCTGCCCGGATGTTCCTGGACTTCAGCTCCCATCAGCTCTAGCCAGCAGAGCAGGCAATAAAGGATGGTGGGAGTTGGAGTTCCATCAAACCTAGAGAGTCACAGTTTTCCCATTCATATCATATGGGATAAAGAACTAGCTACTCCAAGACTGACCTTTGAAGGATCTAACCATAAAATACATTTCACTCTCTGATTGTTGTTAGTTACATTCTGCACATACCTGTTGCAATCAAGAATGAAAAAGGAATGGTGCTATCCAGTCCAGATTGATTCAGTCCTGCTTAGCATCTGCACCAGTTCCTTCATGTGTTTTTTCCAGCATTCTGACTATTCTATTCTGACAGCAATAGTTTTAAAGAAAGCTGAGTGCAACTTGTGGCAGGCATACAGTATTTCCCATACTGTACACAAACATTTATTTTGCTCCATTGTTCCATCTGGCCTAACAGATCGAGCAATTAGTGTGTAGATCATGAGCACAAATCCTTTTAAAAAACAAAAATACACACTTTCAGCTTGCAGAGGACATGCTCAAGAATAATAGTTTTGCAACTCCTGGTGCAAGTGCTAGAGCTGCACATAGTGCAATAATCTCTTACAATGTGCTCTTAGAGAGCCCCACAAGCTGAGGATGTAAAAGACACCAAGGTATATATAAGGTCCACTCACAAAATATTTCTTGCCCCATCCTATGGCTGGATAATGGTACATCAGTTACCAAAAATAAAGCAATGAAACTTTCTTATCTTCATGCTATATGCACTACTCTTCATCTTAATGAACAAGACATGTCCTCCTATCAGTTTCAAAGATGTTAGAACTCAGATTAATCATTGTCATTGCTCTGCTCTGATCACATCACCAGGGACTCATCACAACTAGGTCCAGCCACAAGTGCTACAAATTAAACTGAAATTATTTCCGGAGCTAGATTTAGTCCATCAGATGCGGCCTATTGATCTTGAATTTGTATCACTCATTCCCCAGTCTCCCACTTGTACAACACTCCCTCTCCTCCATCCTCTCCTCTCCAACCCCCATGCACCTTCAATATCTACACCAGAGGGTTGGGGGATGCCCTGGAGCAGATTTTGGGGGCACATAAGAAGATGAGAGTCCCACTGCATAAGTGGAACACTGCTGGTGCAATATTGATTACAGTCCAATAAGTCCAGATTGGAGCACTGCCTCCCCAACAACCTACTGGTGCTGATGTCCAGTAATAATCTGGATAAGGCAATTTACAACCCGAGGGCTGCAGGCTTTCAAATATATTTTATGTTCACACACATTAGGGGAGCACAAAGCTGGTCATAATGGGAAGTACAGTTCCCATGATCTCCAGTTCTCTGGAATCCACACATGTAGATTTCTCCATTGCAGTATATATTGGACTAGATGATCCTCGGGGTCCCTTCCAACTCTACAATTCTATCATAGTGGTATCAAATTAATTTTGGGAGCTCCATATTCCAACTCTGGATTGGATCCTTTTTTTGGCCATTCCCTTTAATTAGGGAAATAAGGTTAAGGTATAAGGACTAGCCACTTCGTATTAGAACTGAGGCCTTCAAACACTGGTATTCAAAGGCTTCTATGTGACTGGATGCAATGATGGAATCTTTTTCAGGCATCTGAAACCAGTTTGTACCAACAGCTAATATCCATGTCAATAATCCAGTCAATTCAAGTTACTTCCAGATGTTCACACTGATTTCTGTCAAGCAGCCTTTCCCAATCTGGTGCTATCCAGAGGTTTTGGCAGACAGCTTCTATCACCCCCAGCCACTGGTCAGGGATGATGGAAATTATAGTCTGAAACCTCTGTTGTGGCTGAGGAAGGCTGCTGCAGATCATACCTAAGACTGGTTCAATTTTCATCTCTTTCAGCAATCTTTATTCAGTCTGCAGCTAATTGGGGGATTGCTTAAATTGAATCAAATAATGAATTGTGTGTGCAGGTTCTTCTGACTCCATCAAAAATTCAACAGTTCAAATGCTTGAACTGTTATAGCTTAAAATTGTTAAGTGTGCACTGTGAGATTATGGATTTCAGAATAAGTACTGAAATATGTGTACGTCTTGATAATGACAAAAGTATTATAACTAACTGCTGTTTTTAAAACACACACACACACATACACAATTCCTGGTCTGCTGCAAAAAACTAATAGGCTGATCCATAAGGATCCTACTATGCATTCTTCCACTACTTCATTACATAGCAGGACTTTAAAAAATGAAACCTAAAAAACATTGAAATCAGATAACGCTGATGCTAGTTGAATTCCAACCTTCAGTTCCAGCAAAGAGAGAGGATGGGGAGGTAGAGCACAAAGCCCGATACAAATACATTGAAGCATTTCAGTCCTGTTGTGCTGGTGTTGCTGGCCAGCCTACCATTTATTAAGCTATGGCACTTGTGGGCATTGGGGGAGGGGGGAGCCAGTACCCTACAGAGTAATCACAATACACAAAGCGCAACAGGCTGAATAATAATAACCATAAACATTTTATTGGCTATTTCCTAACGTAAAGGTCTAGCCCAGTATGTGCAACATATACAGTTCATATGTACAGTATATAACCTATGAAACTAATTCCAATATTAATACATTTCATCTTTTCTTATCTTTTCCTATTGTTTTTTCTTGTGAGTTCCTGTATAACACAATCCTTAGGCTTTCTTATTGTTTCTTCTTGTAAGCAGGTAAAAATAGAAAAGAAAAGTTATGTTAGGAAAAAACCAAGAAAATGTTTACGGTTATTATTATTCAGCCTGTTGCTCTTTGTGTATTGTGATTACTGTATTTGCGTAGCAAGGTATTGAATTTGTTTTGACCCTACAGAGGAATGACAGAGTCACTACAGTTGAGGCAGCAGACACAGGTATGGCTCACATGTGCTTTATCTTAAAATATGGCTCACCTTTTGTCTTCTGTGGAGCTTATTGAATATTACAAACCATCATTTGCATATGTGCAAACCATAGTCATATTTATAAACAACCTGCTCCAATGAGATTTAATCTGATAGGTATTTAATCTAGATGACAGGGTGCCGATGTAATTGCTGCAGCACAGGCCATTAGATGTATTCAAACAGCTATACATATATTTAGGATCAGAATGTGAATTTCTGTTTGATTTGGTGGGGTCAAATCCACTTGAATATGAGTACCCTGACTTAAATTGTTTATAGACCAATTCACACAATTATTTTAGCATGGATGGGAGAATGAAAAGTGAGTTGCCACCCCCACGTCCCCACACATTTATGGCTTCTCATATGAATGCTCTGACGGGTGCTTCAGATCACAAGTTTGCACCTCTTTGAGTAGATTTGGGCCAGACTGGGTCCTTGTTTCCACATGGCAAGATCCCATGTTGCTGGGTTTTAGGCCTTTCCTACCCGAGCAACCATCGAGTTTGGCCATGCCACGTGCTTTTAGTATACAGCTGATGAGTGCAGGTGAGCCATGTGGGATCTTGCCACAAGGAAGTGCAATATAAATTTATATAGTCACTTTCTCATCTGTAGCCCCTTAGAAGGAAGCCGAGTGTTACTACTAACAAGAACACAGAGACATAGTAATGGTCAGAACTTGCATATGACCATCTCCCTTGGTAAGCACCAACAGTTGCTTCTCTGGAAAAATTTCAAGATTTTTGTTTGGAGCTCAGCAAGCCATAATGCTAAGACATGTCAAGGAGGTGACTAAGTGAAAAAAGATGTCAGGGATGTAACTGAGGGCTGACCTGCACATAGATATATATTCACCTCAGAAGTTGAATTTTAGTCCCAAATGAACACATTTGAAGAAAAACTGGGAACTTTTAAATGATATATGTCTGCTGTTAATGGTTTCTCAAATTCCTCTGCACCTTTTGCTACAAGATTTGGCATCACTCATGTGTCTATAGCTGTAACTCTCGGGTGGCTGGGAAAGTAGTCAATGTTCACTGTATAGTAACCCTCACAATTCTAATAGGCCATGGAAGTCCAATGTTAGCCAAGTTATTTTTATAGGTCAATTTGAATGTTTTTTTCTCTCTTATAGCATTGGATCTACTGCTAATTTTGAAATGACTTTTTGATGTAATCCCCCCCCCTTTTGGTTGGATACTATGTAGTGTAATGTATAATTGCTATTGTTTATTGCTTTTACAGTCATATTTATTAAACAGATTCTGTCTCTAAAGAAAGTCACAGTCGTTTTGTTCAATTATCGTATACTGCTTGACTGCTAAAATAATAATAAAAGTTTTACTTGTACATGCAATGTAAAATTGAAGAAATAAGAATTTTGGCTTAAGTATTAGAGTGAAATCAAGCCTAAGCCCCATTGATTTCCATTGTAGTATTAACATGCATGCTTAAATCTCTCCCATTGAAATAAATGGGTCTGAAATGGCTTATTTTCTAACTGACTTGTACCCTTAATTATCAGGCAGTAATCACTCTAACAAAAGGGATGCGGGTGGCGCTGTGGGTTAAATCACAGAGCCTAGGACTTGCCGATCAGAAGGTCGGTGGTTCGAATCCCCGCGATGGGGTGAGCTCCCATTGCTCGGTCCCTGCTCCTACCAACCCAGCAGTTCAAAAGCACGTCAAAGTGCAAGTAAGATAAATAGGTACCGCTCCGGCGGGAAGGTAAACGGTGTTTCCGTGCGCTGCTCTGGTTCACCAGAAGTGGCTTAGTCATGCTGGCCACATGACCCAGAAGCTGTACGCTGGCTCCCTCGGCCAATAAAGCGAGATGAGCGCCGCAACCCCAGAGTCGGCCATGACTGGACCTAATTGTCAGGGGTCCCTTTACCTTTACCTAATCACTCTAACATATAAGCAGATTTAGAAACCAAATCAATTTCAAGCCATGAAACACACAGACTGCTATTAATGCTAGGAATTGTGCTAAAGCAACACTAGCCTATTACTATTACTATTACTATTACTATTACTATTACTATTAATCCACCCTTCATCCTAAGGTCACAGAGCAGGTCACAACAACAGAATGGTGCATTAAATCCAATGCAGTGTGCCTCAGCATTTGTGGTTGAAGATGGGGGATGGCACATTCATTGCACTGAATATTCAGATGGATCTTTTTATTGCTTCTTTTATCTTTTATTCCCTATATTGTATTGTATTTATTGTAATGCCTGTGTGGTCCACCAATACTTCCAGCAATCTTCAAGTTGTTTGAGAGGAAAAAATATTTGGGGTAACCACTGGCATAGATCAAATCCAAATCTATAGATCAAATCTTGTTGCTGACAGTTTTCTGTCTTGCACTACAAAACGGGGAACAGATGGCTTCATGAGGTCAGACATCATGAAATACATTTGAATAGGGCTGCATGATGGCAGGGTCATATGCATAGGTCATGTTATTGAAGTGGGTATTCTCTGGTCAACATATGTGGTGTGAAATAGTCCGGGAATATGGGAATAGTACCAGTAAAGACGAGATCATAGTGAAGAAGAGAGCAACCATTGCCCACTTTGGATTACGCTTGCATCATAAAGGTGTGTGTTTTTTCTATGTAAAATGAGAATTTCTGATTGCACCTTTTTGGGGGCGCTTTCCAGTTAGTTCAACTACTCTTGCTGTGTGATTAACCACCTCTCAGTTTCCACTGTGAAAGGGTAGTCGTTGAAATTAAGGGCTTCTAATTTCACTTCTGCTTTGTAAATTTCATCCCCATTAGCAATTTTGTTCCAGTTGGGTCTCTTGATGAATGTACAACACGCTGCTTTAAAAGGTGCCAGACAAAACCTTTCCTGTGTTAGGTCTTATTTGGGGAGATAATAAATGAAAGATTCCATCAGTTCAATCGATATGGGGCATGAAACAAGGCAATGTATAAAACAATAACAGTTTCTTATCATTTTTTTTCTAAATAAATCAAAGCTATTACAAGCCATGTGTGATAAATTATGGGTCTTGTGAGGTTTTGGGTCCATGAATGTTTGTGATAACTCAGAATCTTCCAGTCATTGCAAGAACCTACACAGCTGCCTCATTAAGGGCCTCAAGTCAGTTGTCTTATCCTGTCCCACAAAGGTCTCTCCTCACTGCAGGTGCTACTCTGGTTCAGCCTTGGGGGGCAGTCTTGCAGAAGGGCCAGGGCCTTTGTATGATGAATGAGGTCCAGATTCACCAGTTGGCTAAGAAAAAACAGAAAATTTTGCGGTGTAATAATCTAACAGGATATCCTCTGTGAATGAAAGTAGGGCCTTCTATTTAATGAGGAAGAAAGAGCAACTTGCTTAATGGAGTAAGTGATATCCTGGCAGCAGGGCCTGACATGAGGAATAGGCTTGCTGAGTGTTCTCTAACATAGTAACAGGCTGGTGTAGTGGAAATGCGGAAGACAACTGTATTTCTAGGAGTTAGGTGGCATGGCCCTTTCCCTTTAACATCCCTAGTTTGAGGTCTGCTGGATTCTTGTGTTTCACACACCTGTCGGAAGTTTCTTGGGTTCTTCTGTGTTGCAAGTGCTGGCTGGATGCCAGGTTGCAGGTAGTGGGAGACTCTCAGCCGCTCTGTATTAATTCCATCTCAGGGTCCTGAGCTAATCGTAAGTAATGTCAGGTACACTTGATTACATCAAGGCAGGCTATAAAAGCAATAGATGGGAGGGGTCCAGAGAGCTTCTACCCAGATCAAAGGACCTGATGCTGGGAGACCGACGGTCGGGGTCTTTCTCCTGCTGTTCTACCTGGGGCTCTGGGCAGCTGAAGGGGAGATTGGGTAGCCCCTGTCAGGTATGTTTTATTTTATGCTTTGCATGCCTGCTGTTTATTTGTTAATAAAACTGTTTTGGTTCCCCTTCCACCTCCTCATTCCTTTTGTCCTGATATCCTTGGAAAGAAATGGTGTATTTGACAGCACAGCTGGGTAAAAATATCTCTATCTCCCTTTATTGCTATTGGTGTGAGGTGGTATGAGGTGAAGGGAAAGGAGAGCTCTACTAATTTCAACCCGGGGTCAGGTCCAGTTTGGCGGCAGAATTGGCCCTGGTGACTCTGTCGGACAATCTTTTGCAGAAGATGGGCAGGGAGCATGCAGCCCTTCTGCTTCTGTTCTGTTGCTCAGAGGCAACTACTACTACTAATGTCACATGGTGTGTGGTTCAAGAACATGGGTTTGCTTAGCACCCTTATGATCCTGTTGGTGCACTGGAGAATAGTCAGAAGCAAGCGGAATTTTGTGAATAAAATAGTAATGAGTAATGAGGACTCCACTAATAGAGGTATTTGACAGTTTCAACCACTTAAAAATCTGTGGTTCTGGGTGGCTATCAAGACTTCACACGAATGGCTTACCATTGGCTGGAGCCAGCATGGGCTGCCATGTTCTTACACCATCATATTAATAAGCCTTTGGAAGGAATCAGCTTCCAACAATAAACTGTACTGGGGGAAGGGACAGTAAGCCCTGGGAAACTCTGTTCTCAATTGTTTCTCTTCTGTTCTTCCTTTTCTTTTCTTTTTTCTTTTTCCTTTTTCTTTTTCCAAATACTGCGTCCACATATGCTGTGGATTTACAGACATGTACAAATAGGCAGTGAAATGCAGATAAATAAAATGTATAAATAGATACATAGAAATGTTTTCTATATCCGCATAGAATCTACTTTCTCTATGTTAAGTGGATGCAGGTCATACAAAATGCTGTTATGCCAGTTCCATAATGTACTATATCTGTTTGCCTCATTTTTAACACAATGCAGAGATATGAGTACACTAGTGATTTCAAGTTCTTAAATAGCACTGCTTCTTAAAGTTCACACAGTGCAAGATGAAAGTCAGGAACATTTGGCTTTTTCTTTTTAATTATGCAGAGATTTCCCATTTGTATTTCTGACAATAGCATTAGTTCTGACAGCCATAAATCATAACCAGTGAGCATGTTATCTTTGCCTGATGATCTCTAATTTAATGTAAAGAAATTTGTCTCCTCCACTGCCTGCATCTCTCCAATCACTCATTGCTCAGAATGACACAACCTGAGGTAGTAGATACAGATCCTTATTGGGTGCAGGGTTTATTTTTAAAGTCTATTTTCCCCACTTCAGCTAATGAGATACTGTCACAGCATTTCACCATGAAATGGAATAATAAAGTGCAGAACTGACTAATGCTTGTGATATGCTGAGATTAGAAAGTGCAGAAGAATGTTGCTTCAGAAATAGTCACAAGCATTTTCTTCTGGATTGGAACAAAACATCATCACAAACAGCCTACAAAGTTTAAAATACACACGCAGTGCCTTTTTCTGTTGGGAAATGGAGCTGTTCACTGACACTCACTAGGTTGGAAATAGGAACTGAAGGAAACTTGATGTTTACAATGTTAGAATCTAAAAATGACAAACTACAGTATGGCTACGGTTGGTGACTCCATTGTAAATGGGGCTGTATATTGGGACCATATTCATATTCTTGACTTCCTAAACTCTACACTCTGAGATAATGCTTCACCCTACTGATATTTTCAGGAATGTCCTACATCCTAGACAAGCTCTTGACACAAGGTCTTTCATGCATAGTTAACGGATCGAATTTGCAATCAGAAGATGCAGTAAAGGCCACCAACTTGGATGCCTTTAAAGAGGGTTCATGGAGGATAAGTGGCTACTAGCCATGATGACTATGTATTACCTCCCATGTCAGATACAGTAGGCTTCTGAATATCAGTTGCTAGAAATTAGAACGGATGGGGCATGCGTTTGCTCTCATGTTCTGCTTGTGGGCTTCCTATAGGTTAGTTACTTTGAGAACAGGATGGTGGACTAGGTTGTATCTTTGGCCTAATTCTTTTGACCTTAGGAAGGTGGTCAGAGCACCTTAGTTTCTTCCTTAGTTGGCAGGAGCATGTACTTTGTCTTGCAGTGTGGGATCTGGATTCTGTTTACCTCTGTAAAGGGGGGAGATGGGTCTTTTCGTAGCTTATTTATAGTACTATCTTATGATCGTGAAAGACCTTTCTCAATAGAATCTCAATAAAAAACTATACAAAGAAACCTTACCTAAAGACCTCATTTTAGTGAGATGATTAGCTGTTCCTTTCCATATTATATACTAATCTCCACTTTTAAGTATAATCCAGTCCAGTTCTGCCCCAGAGGTTTTGAATGCTCAGCTGTGTTTAGAATCAGTCACCGCAATTGCTCTAGTATGTTGTCA